AATCACGAGTTTACAGAAGATACCGTTGTTGATTACTCCGACCGAGACCGTGCTGTTGTTTGTGCTGGGCTCACGACAGCAGTCACCCATCTTTCGTCCTGGCTGGAGGACAAAGGTTTGCTATTGAACTCAGCTAAGACTTAAGTGATGTTGATTCGTCCCAGAGGTGCGTTTGACGCTGCTGCGTCACTCGTCGCCTGCAACAACAGTGTTCTGCAAGTCACACACGTAGCAAAATACCTCGGTGTGTTGATTGATGACCAGCAAACTTGGGCACCTCAAATGTCCCGCTCAGCTCCAAATACCCTTGGTAACCTTGGATTTTTTCAATTTTTCCCTCGGTGTGACCGTCCCCTTAGGCCGCGGTATGTCCAACAGTTGAAAGTCCTTGAGGCAGTTTGTATACGTATTTATAAGCCTGTTTTGTGTAAGCAGAAAGAGCACGTTGTTTCACTGAAGTTGTATTCGTAGGTTGACACTTCGTTCAGTGCCTTCTCACCTTTGGTCACGTAATCTTGTCCCCTTTTTGCGTTTCCTCTAGTGGTTATATTGCACTTGTATCTTGATGTTATTTCTAACACCTTTCTATTACCGTATATTCTCTATTATAAGCGCCGTGCTTATATTTTTTCAACAGCCCTCTACCCCGTGCTTATATTGGAGACCGTGCTTATATTTTTTCAACCAATATATCCATACAGAGCAAGAAGAAATACATGCTAGATATAACGCATGCAGCATTGATTTCCACCAAGACCGTGCTAATAATAGAGACTGTGCTTGGAATGTTTCGAAAGGTGCTCACAGTGTGCTAGTATTAGAGACTGTGCTAGTAATGGAGACCTGTGCTTATAATAGAGAATATACGGTAAATTATTTTACATTATTTAACTTCAGTTTCTTTGGTTGTATCCTTTAGTTCCGTATTTTTTCCCACTGATGATAGGAACGAGAAAATCGATTCTGGGTTTTCAATTATATTTTTTGTTATAAAATACACAGTAATACATGTCAATCAAGTAACAAACAAGGCCGGTCCTGGAAGCTCGAGGTAGAGTGCTCAATGTACGAATGTAGAGAGCAGTATACACACACACACAACAGAGGCGAAAGGCTGTGTGTGTGTGTCAAGTAACGTAGTTGCGTGATGTCTGCGGCCTTCATCCTATTCATAGCTATATTAAAGTTATAATTATTGGAACTTTAGTGCGCATTTTCCAGCAAGAAGCGAGTGGCCACTTGCGACAAGTGGACTGCTGACGGGACAAGGATCTTTCGACAACCATTTGGTTGGATTATGAGGGATGCAAAGGCAAACGCGCGGGGGTGAAGTGCTTAGATGCAAAGTGTGTCACTTTGTGCGAAAATTTGTTCGTCCAAAAATTTTCGGAGTCGTTCATAGTTGGGTAAAAGGTAAAATGTAAATTATCGTGTCCGTTCCCGAAGGGAACTCACGACGGGCGCTAACACCCGGTTAACCCGTTGGGTGAGAAAATTCATTATTTGAAATTGTAAGCTTTCAAAGACATGTCCGGGCAAGTCCGACCAATTGAAGAAATGCAAAGACCTTATGCGGGAACGACCATGATCAATGTTCTTATCGCATGGCATGCTAACATTCTATGATCCGTTTCTCTTTGCCTTCTTTGGTTTATGCGGGATGACGTAAGTACACAAGCATTGAAAAAATGGTACCCTCTCTTGAACAGTGCCCCTTCTGTGATGGATAGTGAAAACAATAATGCCCCTGGGACACTAGTCATATGGGCATGGTAAATGCCAGGTCCCTTAATGTCCATATATTCCTGTCAGTTTGGTGCCTTACTTAATGGTCCTTTCTGAAACTTCCATCTCTAGGGAAAGTCTCTCACTTTACAGTATCTCAAAATAACCTGATCCATGCAAAAAGGTCTCTTTGTGATCTATATAATAACTAAGTAGTGGTTGCGACTTCGGCGAAGATTTGTGAGAAAGGATTTGCTCCCCACACCGGAGCTCGCGCTATTCTGCCGACTTTACTTGACACTTGACTGACTCACGACTGCCATCCAGAGCACACGAGAAGTCCATCGAGCCTTTGACTCGGCAAACCTGCAAGAAAGCACCACTCCCTGCTCAATATACAATGTCAAGTGAAGTCGGCGGAATAGCGCGAGCTCCGGTGAGGGGAGCAAACCCTTTCTTATATAATAACTATTATAATAATTATGTTATGACTTACAAAGAGGATAATTTGGTTGTGGCTTGAAACAGTCCTGCTGGAAGGTCAACAAGCTGATTATAGCGTACGTCTCTGTGAAAACAAAGTAGAACTCTGCTCAGGCATACCCCATGGTCTGCAGGAAAGTACCCGTAGTACCCAAGGTCCTTCGCTTCGCGATATTCTTCAGTGTGGAACAACACACCCATGCCCGGGGCAAGGAAGGTCATGTGTAATAGGAACACTTAATATATATGGTCTACTGTAATCATCGTTCCATGTCAACTGCGTATGAATATTCAATTTTGAAAATACAAGAACAGTGTCTCCACTTCCACTAACTGAACACTCAAATAATTTTCGTCCGAGAATACAATTACTCGCCAAGGGCACAAAGGAGGTTTGTAGAGTTGGATGCAACTCCGAGCTTCTTGCTGAATGCAATCAGCATGATCACCCACTACCCACAGTCCATTTCAAAACTATAGACGCATAGTGTTTTGCAAAATTCGATGGGATTTATTTAAATATTTTTAGTTTTGTCTTCAGATTCCGTCTTTCCACCGCTTCACAATTCTGTCTATATACTTTGTTTTCGCTACAATTAAAGTTGATTTTTAGGGCAGGTTTTCCGGTTTTACATGTAATCTCTGTTTTGAAGGGTTTGACCAGTTCGTTTCGGATTTTGTTCCTGCTGAGACAGTGCTGCGCCCAGATCATTGTGGGTGCATTTTTGTACGGATCCTGGTAGCCTCGTGGTTTTGATCCGCGATTTCCAGTACAAGTGCTGGGCATTCGAATCCCATCACTCCTCCTGCCTTTTTTCTCTTCTTTTCTGCATGTTTTGGATCTTGTTGGGTGAAATACAGTAGAGATGATAATTATATTTTCTCTTTTTGATTTGATTTGATCCTCCCTGTTCCCTTCGCCTGACACAACGAATGACAGTGGTTTCAATCACGCCAGTTGCAATGCGAGTTCGACGACGAGGAATTCGGATACTCGAGCGTCAATCAAAATGCAGCTCTTGTTCGAAGAAACAATAAACACGACTAATCATATCTTTCTCGGCATCACTGAGATTCTTACGGGCCTTGGAAGCCATTACAGTCAGGCACTCAGAAAATGCAAACAAGAAGAAGATTCATTTGAGACTTTCATTTCTTTTGAGACTTTCCTCACACCTTTTCATTTGCGACTTTGCGTGTTTTGTATCTTTTGTATTTCCCGCGGCGACGAAGAATAACCTGAAAAACAAATCTGAAAACCAGAAAACACTCATGCAAAACTCACGGCTGTCGTGCGCTACAGTATGTTCGGCTCGTACGTATGAGTTCACGCGTCTTTAGTTTTGAAATGGACTGTAGGAGACTAAAAAGCACAAACCTTTAGGCCCTTTGCAGACTACATACATCGAACATCCAGTACAAAATCATATAAAACCTAAAAGGCAACATTCTTCCAAGCCTGCAGTCAGACTACACATTTTACATGCAATATACAGGCAACCTTGCATGGTCACACAATGCAGGATGCACTGTTGTTCTGTGCGGGAGACATCAAAAAGTTAGGGTGCCAGTTTCCAATGAATAGACTTTAGTAGCAGAGCAAAGTTCAGGTCCAACAATAACATTCTGACATTTCCCACAAGTAATCTTTCCTACCCTTCCCTTAGGTGATATACAGACAAAAACAAACAGGACGGAATACAGGCTGCCTGAGTCGGGTTGCTCTTTTCTCTGTGAAACTCAACACAGACAGTCTAAGAATGGTGTGAGTGGCCAGTATAATTAAACCGAAGTATTGATTGATAGAAGAAGGATCAATTTTCCAACACCGTAGATGGAAGTCATTATTGTAGCTCAGCTGGTTAGAGCATTGCTCGTGAAATCCCTTTACAAGTTTGTATTACTGGTGATGTTTGTGCCTGGAGAGCTCTATATATTATAAGTTGTGCTCACCAGGCTCAACTTAGCCTAGTAAAGCTCAACTGATGAGGGGTGAATTCCTTGAAACATTGTGTACTGAGCAGGAAGTGGTGCTGTCTTGCAGGTTAGCGGAGCGGAAGGCTTGAAGTACGTCTCTTGTGGTCTGCGTCGCAGTCGCGAGTCAGTCAACTATCAATTCAAGTGGAACCAAACACGAGCTCCAGTTTGGGGAGCAACACTTTGGGATTACACTGAAGAGAGCATGTCTGAGAAACCAAGAACATATGTGCAAGTCGATCTCTCAGATTTCGCTCAAATTTTGCAAGTAGGTTGGCTTTGGATTGTAGCTCGACATTCCTAAGCCCACTCAAAATCGTTGAAGGGAACCCTGAAATTGGCAGACCCCCACAATATTGGCCCAATATTGGCACGATTTATGGGTCTACAAACGAGCCACAACACTTTGAACAAGTTTTGCTACGAACAAAAGTTGTTCATAGCAAAACTTGTTCAAAGTGTTGCTGCCCCAATAACTCTTCTAAGGTGAGGTAATGTTGGCTTGATGGAGTTTTTTTCGTGTGAGTGTGACACACCTCTGACCTGCACCTGTGATCTACCATGTGTGCGGTGGATCCCTGAAAGGGGCCATGAAAAACCAGTGGATAGTGCATAGGTTACGGATCGGGACGAGCATGAGTCCATGTACGCAGCACTGTACCCACGCTGGGTTGACTCCCGGGACACAACATGAATCGATCGTGGATTTTGTTCGTCAACCAAGGCGAGTATCAGTCCGTTCAGGGGGTCTTGAACTAGAAAAGACTGATCCGGGTTGTGTTTTTGTGTTGGTATGTTGCTTTGGTTCCATGAAGGAAGCCATGAAATGTTTCTCAATCAAGACACAGATCATCAAACTGCATCGTACAGATGTAGTGGGGATGTACATCGGTCCATCCCGCGTTTCTTACAAATACGAGAACACTATCCATTTCGGTGAATGGGGCAGCTGCGCTGGCATCCACGGCCTTCTTCAGGCACCTTTGCCTGCTTACATCTCATCCTTCGGGAGGTAGCTATTCGTCGTTGATGGGTTACTCTCGCTGTCGAGTGTCTTTCGCGCTGCTACGTTCCGCTGTGTTGTGTGTCAGGGGTGCTCGGTCGGCCAGTCACCGTCCAGTTCACATGCTTCGTGAGTTGGCGATGGTGGAGGGTCGGGTTCACCTGCCGTGATTGGTGCTGCACCGAGCTTGTTTTGTGAGAAAGTGTAACTGTTATTATTATAAGAGGAAACGCAAAAAAGGTAACAAGATTACGTAACCAAAGTCGAGAAGGCACTAAAGGAAGTGTCAACCTACGAATACAACTTCAGTGCAACAACGTGCTCCTTCTGCTTACCCAAAACAGGCTTCTGAATACGTATACAAACTACCTCAAGGACTTTCAACTGTTGGACATAACGCGCACGACACAGTACAGAAAAACCACCCCCTGTGCCAGTGGTACAGACAGAGCCAACACGAAATGCGGTACCGTGTGAGGGGGCTAGGCTGCCCAAGTTACCAACTCCAGCAGCACCACCGTTGCCCTTGCCACCACCAGAACCGCCACCGGGTCTTCTTGTGGCGGGGGCTGCGGCGGACCCACCTACACCCGCGCTGGCATCACCAACTCTCACACGAATTGCCACGGCACCCACATTAATTCAGAGACCTCGGAGGGCAACAGCAAACTACTCCACAGATATTTATGCCAGAAACGGCCAAGGACCGCGCGTTGTGGACAATACCCACAGAAGGAAGGTGGAGCAGGATCATGAGTCAGTGAGTGAAGCGGATCTGGAGGAACAACTCCGCTCACGGGACGAGCAGCTAGCAAATGCGAGACAAGTGGTCTGTACCGAAACGGAGGATGAGACAGGTGATCAGAGGACGGAAGAGCAATTGGATGACGAAACGGTTGGTGAGGAGACAGAGGACGAGGCAGATGATGGTAGTGATGATGATCGTGAGGATGACGAGCGGAACGAGGAAGAGGATGATGAGAGGAGGAGTCGGGTGGGAACGAGCAAGATGAGGCGGATGAATGTCTTGATCGTAAGAAGTCAGCTGTGTATCTACACTTGCTATCTCGTCCTGACTGTCTTGGTGTGTATGATGACTCTCATTTTTCTGTACTGTGTCGTGCGCGTTATGTCCAACAGTGGAAAGTCCTTGAGGCAGTTTGTATACGTATTCATAAGCCTGAAGTTGTATTCGTAGGTTGAATCTTCGTTTAGTGCCTTCTCGCCTTTGGTTACGTAATCTTGTTACCTTTTTGCGTTTCCTTCAGTGGTTTTATTGCACGTGTATCTTCTTGTTGTTATTATTATTATTCTTATATCTATAACCGCAATCAGTAAAAATCTCCTCGCCGTGTGTTCTTATATCTATACTTAAAAATTCGGAACGATGCTTCACGCAGCTTCATTATAGCAACTTGTTTTGTTCAGCTGTGTGAAGAAGAGGTGCATCTGAGTGTTGGCCAGTGTTGCCACAATACAAGTTTCTAAACTTCAAGTATTACAAAATAATTGAGAGGCTTTGAATCGTTTTTATCAAAATTTAAATATTCGCCGGGTTGGAAGGTGGGAATGAAAAAAAAAAGAAAAAAAAGAACACTATCCATCGGCTTCCTTGCGTACTCACCGGATTCATGCAGAGCGACTGAAAATGCGAATGCAATTTGATGATCCTCAACCCGGACGCAGATAATCAAACTAGGGATGTACGTCAATCCATCTCAGGTGCCTTGATCAACAGAAGTAACCCTAATGGCAGCATGATCTTCCATCGGCTTCCTCGCGTACTCGCTGCATTCACGCAGAGCGCCTGAAAAAGGCGAATTATTTTCAGTGCGCTCTGTGTGGATCCGGGCGTGCTGTTGAAAAGGTGAAAACTAAAATCTTTCTAGTCATATCATTTCAAACGTTTGGGAGTGTAGTAGTCCTAAAGGAAGAAATAGAAAAGCCGGTCAGGTGTATCTCGAGTGGTCATGTCGAAGTCTTCAAGTGCAAAGGCAACGCGAGGTGCGCTTTCTCTCAAAGAGAAATACGAGATCGTGCAGATGCAAGAAAGAGGATTGAAAGCGTCGAGCATCATCGCTCGTACCGTCCGTCGCCCGGCTCAAACTATCTACACCGTGCTAAAACAAAAGGATGCAATCAAGCGAGCATACCTTGGCGGCGAGCGGTCTTCGTCTGCAGAGCGCGTAAGGCAGTCTCGCTGGATGCAGCTCTGCGAGATTGGCTCGCTTGTACTAGAGCTGCAAATCTGGATGTGACAGATGACATCCTCATGACGGAAGCGGAGAACCTTGCAAGACAGCTGGGGATTTCCAGCGAGGATTTCTCAGCGAGCCATGGCTTCTATAAGTTCCTTCAAGGCACGGCACCAAGTCTCGCTGAGGACAAAAGCAGGAGAGGGGAGAGATCTGCAGCTGATCACAGCATCGTTTAAGGGCGCCACGATGTTCTCCCAACATTTATTGAAGGGCATGGAACCCGAGGATATTTTCAATGCGGACGAAGCGGCATTGTTTTACCGGCTCCTTCCTCATAACACTCTTGCATTCCGCGGAGAGAAGTGCCAGGGCGGGAAGAAAAAAAAGGAGAGGCTGAGTGCATTGTTAGCCGCCAATATGGATTGTTCGGAAAAGCTGTTGCCACTGGTTATTGGGCATTACAAAAACTCAAGGTGCTTCAAGAATGCCAGATTCTTGCCAGTGACGTACAAGCACTCGAAGAACGCATGGATGGCAGGGGCATTGTTCAAAGAGTGGCTGATGAATTTCAACCAGGAAATGGCCAAGCCAAATCGGAAAGTGCTCTTTTTCTTGGACAACTGCTCAGCTCACTCAGCTGCAACCCTGACTGCGAATTTCTCGCACTTAACCATCCATTACTTCCTTCCGAACTCAACATTCAGGAGCCAGCCTATGGATCAAGGCGTGATTCACAGCCTACCGTACCAATCTTCTGCCGCACATAGTGGATGCCTTTGATTCCGGCAAACCCTCAGATGAGGCAAAGAAGGCCAATGTTGTGGAGGCCATTTTCATGCTGCATACAGCCTGGCAGAGAGTCACGCCCCCGACTATAGCAAATTGTTTCCGACATGCCAAGTTTCATGACGAATCGTCTGGCCAGACTGAGTCCTTGGCAAATTTGAACGTGCCAAATGACAACGAAGATGGCCTGCTAGCCATGACTGAAGCATGGGATAGCTTTGCTGACCAGACTGGTGGCAAAGAGTATTACTCTCTGCCAGAATATCTTGACATTGACAAGGGCATTGCAACTGAGGGTCCTGAGGCTTTAGACATTGCCCAGCATAGCAACACTGCCGACAACAGTGAGAGTGATAGTGAAGATGACAGCGAAGTCCCAGCTGCGAAGCCACCGACTCGGTCAGAGGTGGCAGTCTCTCTTTAAGTTGTGAAGGACTATGTCATGTCGCTGGATGCTGGTGTTGCTGATGACGCCATTTTCAGCGGCATCTCTAACATTGACGACTTGCACCTGAAACAGGCCATGACCACGACGCATCAGTCATCTATCCATGCCTTCTTTTCGCCATCCAGTGGAGCAACCAACATACGCAGATCACTCCAGCCACCAACTACCAGAGAAGTGTAGGCCAAGGCCGGAAAGCAACAGACCCAGGCAGTAAAACCAGCCGCCACCATCAATACATTCTTTACTGCCGCGCGGCCTCGTGAAAAGGAGGTAGTGTTCACTGATGTATCCGAGAGTGAAAGTGATTCGCTTTCATCCTGGAGTGACATCGACATGTCTAGTTCTGATATTGAAGTTGTCACTTGCAGCTCAGAGGAGGATGATGACGACATCATAACACAATGGCCCAGGTCAGCATGCGGAGGTGTTGTAAGCATCCTGACCTCGAGGTCCTCTTCGGAAACAGTTTTCACTCCAACAGCATCCGCTACTACGTGTGTGCCATCCCACCCACTGCTCTTTCTCACTTGAGTATCTCTCCCAACTCCTTCTGCCCATTTCCCTTTTTTCGACCTGGCTCTTGTTGATCCCTCTCATTCACTCTCTCACACTCTTTCACACTCTTTCGCACTCTCTCACTCACTTTCACTCACGCTCACTCACTCCCACTCTCTCATTCACTCTCTCGCTCACTCTTAGCGGCTCTCTCACTCTCTCACTCACTCCCTAACTCACTCACTCACTCTCTTACTCTCTCACGCTCTCTCCCTCTCACAATCTCTTTTCCGTCTCTAGCTTTCTCCCTCTCCCACTCTTGCATTCTCCAACTCGTTCTATGCACGTGTCAATCTTTGAAGAAATTGTGAGAATGCTCTGCTGTGACAAGACTTAGTGCACAATAAACGTTTGAACTCTCATAACTTGCCTAATCCAAGATGCTTTTACTGCATTCTTCATTTACTGGCAGGACGATATAAAATATGTCAGTGTTGATCTCTGTACTTGTACAAATACGATATTACACTGCATTGAAACTGTACAGTGTATCTTTATTTTCCGCATCCGAAAAAAATGCGGTACTGTATTGAAATTATCTTAGAACGAGTTTCAGGGTCTAGAAATTATTTTGTATCGAGTGAAACCCAGAAAAGTGCATACCAGCGCTTACTGACCATGTTTGGTTGCAATTCCTGTTAAAAGGTAAGTCTCGTTATAAGATATCTTTCCTGACGGCCCAGCTAGAGATTATCTACTAACGAGGGAGGACCTGTATGTTTGCGTTCGGTAGTAGATCGACATTCCAAAGCCCGTGCAAAATCTTTTGAAGGGAACCATGAAATTGGCATACCCTCAATATTGCCCCAATATTGGCACGATTTATGGGACAAACGTGCCACGGCACAGCTTACAAGAACAAGCTACGAACAAAACCCCATCAAGCCAACATAACCTCACCTTAGAAGAGTTCTTGGGGAAGCACCACTTAGCCACGCCAGCATCCCAGAAGACGAGGGCAATCATCCCTTGACGCCACAAATGATCGTCTTGAAAATAGCCAAATTACAAGCGCTGAGGACATGTCCACCATCATCTTTTTGGGGTTTTCTTGAAATAAACAATTTTGAATTTTTCCACTCGACAATTCTGAAATAACACTCCCTACCCTGCAGAACAAAGTGCACTGTTGACTCTGACAAGGAAAAGAAGCGGTGATCACTTGTCACTCCAAACGACAAGCTTCTCCTTGTGCCAACAACATTTTTCGCTGCAACAGTTGACGCAAAAGTGACTGAATTTTTGCGTGTAGTTTAGGGATTTTACGGCAAGAGGAATGATGAAATCACGTGCATCACGACGTAGAAAAATGCTTTCTGATGCACGACACTATGCGCACGATCACGGTCGGTCCTAAGGCGCTATTCGAAACGGACCATGAGGGAGGAGGCAAGAATTTAGTGTATAAACGAGCGTATCTATAACAAACGAGCGATCAGTTTCACTAACGAACAAGCTATCGAGCGAGCTAACGAGTTTCATTGATTTGACAAATAATGATTTTTTGAATCTTTTTTCTATTACAGTTCGATTTTTTCATCTGGTTCAAATTATCACCGCCGACATTTGGGTTCCTGCTGCTTCACTTCGGACTGCTGTTTGGTGTCGAGATATTTTTCAGTGCCGTCGTTGAGCAGCCTTTGTAAGAATACGGAAATTGCAAGTACTGAGCCCTGTTCTTCGCTGCACCGCGGGAGAAATCTTCCAAACGATGGAGCATAACTTTCACTCGAATGCAGAGTTGACCGAAGCATGTCCTGCGACAGGTTAGCAGATGCAGAACAAGACATCAGTAGGGTCCACAAAAGCTGCAACGACAACTGAAACAACTCAAGGCATCGTCACCTTGGCCTCCTCATACAGCAGAATCTATGCTGGAACTCGCAAGTGACTACATCATCTCTAAAGCGCCAAGGAAGATGTTCCTTCGACTGCGACTTCGCAATTCCTTAAACACCTCTGCTCTCTCCTCCATCTATCTAACCTACATCCGCCCTATTCTTGAGTATGCTTGCACTGTCCTCTCACCCCTCCCCGCAACCCTGAACGACCGGCTTGAGCGCATCCAATGGCGCGCCGCTCGCCTCTGTTTGCATCTCCCCCTCTTTGAACACAGAACCTACTCCTAGCTGCTGCACTGACTCAAATGGCCATCACTCAGCAGCTGCCGTACCCTCTCCTATATCCTTCTTGAACATAGCCTGCATCATAGATATGCACCACCACACCTTCTTGCAATTCACCTACCCCGAATACAACCCATTCGCACGCTCAGGCTCCCCCGAACCTTTGAGCTACCCACAACACGTACAAACCAGCTAAGGGACTCCCCCATCTATGCTTATATTGATCTCTTTAAAAGCATTCCACTCAGCCTCCGGCATATCAACCCCAGACGAGATTTCAAAGCAAACATCCTACCACTTGTCATCTCTTCCGTATGTACTTGCTCTTATTGCTCAGCACATCTATAGCTCCATTGCGCCCAGCCTATGTGATAAACTCCCTATTGCCATCGCTACTGCATCAGCAAGCAGCTAAACTTTGATCTCTCTGTATCTGATCGCCGTGCCTGTAATTATTTTTCTCTTATTGGCCACATGCATACAGGCCATCGTGAGTATAAAAAAAAGATTTCAAACTCAGTGTCGTGCAGGCATACAGTCTCTGTAACTGCGAGTGATTTTCACTTTGCCCGGGACTGGACTCTGGATCGACCAGGGAGTTTTGAAATATGTTATGACTGCCCGATCGGCATGTACTGAAATGTGTACGCAGCACGGTGTTCGTTAGTGCAAACGAGCTGGCCGCACAAACGAGCCAAGTGTCTGGCGAGCGAGCTAACGAGTACACGTCGAGATCGTTTCAACACTAGGTAAGATGGATTATATTTCTTGCATGCTCTGATCAGAACATGCAGAAACTATCGTTATAACGCTAGCAGTATTGCATTGGCGAGAATTTTATAAGATATTTCCTCTTGCAGTAAGAACAGGGATGCATTTTTCCACACTAACCTCACTCATCCCGAGCATGGTTCAACAGGAACTATGGCTAGTTTACATGCTGATGATCCACGTAGATCTGCAACAGCAAGGAATGACTGTGGTCCATGCCATGAAGGTCGCATGGAGTTGACCAGCGCGCGTCCTACACTGGTTGCATGGGGTTCGGGGCTCACCCACATTTCTTATGTCGTGAACAATGTTATTTGACACTAATCGCCCTAGTCTCTGTGCTGGATGTTGAGGGAAAGTCCCGACTGGACGGCCTACAACACGACATGCGTGCTCTTGAGCTGGACATCAAGATGCACTTGATCCGATCTAGATCAACGACTGATCCATGTAAGTGCAGGTGGGCTTAATCAAGGTGACACGTAGCTCGCTGTTTTATCAGCACTTGTAATTTGGCTATTTTCAAGACGATCATTTGTGACGTCATGGGATGATTGCCCTCGTGTTCCCGGATCCTGGCGTGGCTAAGTGGTGCTGCCCCAATAACTCTTCTAAGGGGAGGTGATGTTGTCTTGATGGAGTTTTGTTCGTTGCTTGTTCTTGTACGCTGTGGCGTGACTTGTATGTAGACCCATAAGTCGTGCTGAGATTGGGCTAATATTGAGGTGTTTGCCAATTTCATGGTTCCCTTCAAAAGATTTTGCGCAGCCTTTGGAATGTCGATCTACACCCCAAAGCAAACCTACCGGCAAAATGTGAGCGAAATCTGAGAGAGTGACTTGCACATATGTTCTGGTTTTCTCCGACATGCTCACTATTTATTATTTTGTGGAAGTCATGATAATATTATTGTAGTATTAACAAAACTTCGTGAAGGATTAAGATGGATATGAAAACGCTTAGAACAGGTCAAGAACAGTTTGTATCGACTGCAAATCACTGGACAAAGGAAGTTCAGCCTATGTAGAGCGTCTTTACAAGAGAAACTCTTGGCGGAATGAGCAGAGAGTTCAGTTTGCGTCGCTTTTGCTAGACTCATTTTGGACACTGCGTCGCTGTCATCATCTGCTGAACGAGAGACGTCATCTTTCTCGAATAGTTGTTCAGTTCGTGTCAGCCTTGCGGCAAGCTTCCTCAAACTCCTTCTTGGACCGTAATATTGAAGGCAACCTCTTGTTGACGCCCGCTGGCGTTTTCTTCAGGACCTGTGGCGGATGGTTAGATTGATTGCCCACATACGGGGGCATCGTTGTATTTGAGAACTTAGTCTAACCATTTGCCTTCAATATCAAGTTCCAAGAAGGAGTTTCAGGAAGCGCCGCCGGAACATGCTAATGCGCTTGCTGCTGGCGGACACACCACACCTTTAACCTAGAGCGGTGAAGACACACAGCCGTGTAGAAGGAAGGGGGAAGCAAAATGTGATGGCCTAGTATCAGCGAGAATCGACCTTCGGGTGAACATCATTTTTTTCAGAACACGTCATTTTCTGCAACGGCAAAAAAACTCTTGCTTCGCGCTCTGCACATTCAAACAAGAAATTAGATCATCGCAATGAATGCTTTTGATTGTCCCAGTAGCAGGAGAGTTCACTCACGATAGCCAGCTAGCTGCCGCCCGGCTCTGCCAGAAATCATTGGATTTCCTGGGCAGGAATTGTCGTGTCTGATAGAGAACGACGAAAGTTTCCAGAAGATGTTGTTGTCGACGGGCAATTCCTATTTATCTGACATCTAAAAAACCCTTTTAGGGCCCTACTGAATTTAGTACAGCTCCGCTCAGGAGAAATACTCAACGAGGAGAAACTCGTGGGGCGACGGCAACAGAGGTAGACGAACAGATACGCCCTGGATCAATTCGAGTCAGGACTAAAGAGCGCTGCCGCTAGTGACATGATCTGAATTTTCCCAGGCTCCCACACTGGACTCCGTGGTGAACACCAAACCCCTTGGAGGGGGCAAGAGCTGAACATTGATGTATGAGCTACGAACTCTCTACGCTCAGTGCTGGAATCATGGCGCACTGACGTGCATGCAGCCAGCTCCCACAGAGCTCAAATTTCACAGAGGTGCAGCAGTGATGGACTACCTCTAAATCGTGTATGAGATGAAGTGTGGGTGTTAGAATGTTGTGCCTGTGTCGTATTCTCTTTGGGGTGCACAGACTGGGACTCCAGGTGTAGTTGTAGCCACCCTCCCTCCTGTTCCCTCCTGTTCTGCACGTCTGTGTGGGATGGCGTTCGAACAATTTTCATTGGTATGCAGTGATGAGGATCAAGGCCATGCTCTATGCCAGAGGTTGCCCAAGAGTTTTTTTTGCAACAAAAACTGGATGGATGATTTATTACACTGTCTACTAGTTCGAAGTACACATTTTTGTTCATCAATTCTTCCATATCACATTTTTTCTTTCTTCCATGTTTTTCACTGCCTTCGAATCCACTCGTTTTTTGAACACAATAAAAGCCTTTGTGAAAATGTCGGTTCAGCTCGTTCTGTTGATCGCAATTCTAAATCTATTTTTTATGAAATTTTATTTCACTGTAACACATAGTATTCCGATGTGGAAAAAACTGTGATAAAAACTGTGATAAATTGTTGTATTTCCTGATAAGTACCTATGCTTGTTTCAGAAGCTTGTGTGTCATCAATATTGCTTTGTTCGGTCTAATACTTTGCCATGTGATCACTAGATGCCTATGGATGACAACGGCAGAAAAAGTCATTTTGTGAAAAATCACCCTAAGGTCCATTTCCGCAGATACTGGGCCATATGGTTCAACCCTCCATACAGTGCGAAAGTGAGAACAGACATCGCCGGACAGTTTCTCGCGCTGATATCGAAGCACTTCCCCAATGGATCCAGATTAAGAAAGCTCTTTAACCGCAATACCGTAAACATGAGCTATAACTCCATGCCGAGTATGGAACCAGAATAAAAGGTCACAACAAGAAAGTCCTACAACCGAAACATGATAATTTACCATGCAATTGCCGTGTTGCAGTGCTATGCCCACTGAATGGTGCATGCAGGACCACCAACATGGTGTACGTAGCAAGCATCAAGTCAGGCAGCACCTTGAGAACATACACTGGGATATCGGTCCACAGGACCGTGCTTATAGATGAGGGCTGTGATAGTGTTAGGTGCCTCCTCCCGTACAATCTTACCTACAACCTTTCCGAAGCTTACATGCACCCGTACTACGTCATACTCACCTTTCCTTCCGTTGGCCTGGGTATCTACTTGCGCACCCATGTTTGCCATAGCTACCAAGGCCCTTTATATTGCGTTGTTTCGTTGTTTCTCAGTCGAGCTCTCTTCAACTCGTTCTCTCCAATAATCTCGCTCTCTTCAATAATCTCACTCTTCAACGTAGTCGTTCGTTCGTCTTGGTATCTTGTCTCGTCGTCTATAATAATTGTCGTTCCCAATAACTTGTTCCCGTTGTCTGTTGTAATGTCTGGAGAAGATGTCGTCAGTTGTCCTTCTTCGGACTCAACAATAGGAGCACTCAGCAGGCTAGGTATGTGAGGGGCCTTAAGCGCCAGGATAGAACTGACGAGATTTCCTGGGCTGTCAAGGTGAGTATTAATGCCTACTCCAACGTTGCAGAGCGCTGCAACCTCTACATAGTACCACATCCTTGCACCAGCCCGCAGAACCTCACTCAACAAGTGCAAGAATATTGTGTGGAAGTGTCGCCATGCTGCGAAGTTCCTGCTTGGCAAATACAAAGGTGTCACCTAAATCACTCTTGATAAGCATGCTGAACCCATGTATGAAATTCCTCACTCTTACTTACACAAATCGCTGCCTCCGTAACACTACTGCATATAATTGGATATTGGCTATTCATCCAGTATTAGTTTTCTGGTGATTGCCTATGGGCATGAAACTATTAATTACAACGAATGATGCATGGTGCTCTGTGCCATGTGTGAGATAGCTCTATTCGAACAGTTCGGAACGAATATTGAGCACTCTACTGAGCCAGAGGACTCTCATTTGTAGAAGCCATAATGTTCAAATCGATCCATTGCCAGCAATCGAGGACACCTGAGAGTTGTAATTTTTGTACTCCTCCAAGGTGTGATTTTTGGCGTGCTGGGCCAAGCACAAGGAAGTCATCTGCAAAAAAACTGCAGAAAATGGTTGTTGTTTGATCCTTTGGTGTAATCTTTGTTTCTAGTCGAAGCTAGTTGCTGTTTGGAGCAGAAACGCTGAAATTGACTATTTTCTGCATGTACTCATACATGTACTCATGTACTCAGGCATGCAGTCTCACTCGTATTTTAGCTCTTTTTCTGGAATGGATGCTGCTCTGCGCCCCTTGGTGAACATTTCCTGCGCTCGTGGAGCAGCTGAAAAGGACCACTGGTATGTCTGGTTCCTGGTTTGAAAGTGGAGAGTCGACTTTTGTGCCTTGAAAAAGGAGTAGAGAGCGATAAAGGTACGTCTGTGGCTTATTTTTGAGTGCTCCTCGTACATTTTTGATCGTGATAGAAATTCTCAGACCAAAGTCAGACCAAAGTCTGAAAGATGATGGCCGTACAGTTTTCTTGTGGATTTTTTAGTTGTTTCATCTCGTATCTATGTCAGTATCGTAATGGTGAAGTGGAGAGGGTGATTTTCTTCCTCTAGGCTTCGTTCGGCCGACTTTGCTTCGTCCTCGTTGAAAAGTGATCCTGAAAAAAAGGTCGATTCGCAAAATTATGTTGATTTTGAATGTATATGATGACATGCGATTGCTGGCTATGCATAATAATGGTGACAGGCCAGACTCACAGCGATTGTAATTCTTTAGTTGTTCGAAACAATCCCTCTGGTAGCTGAGTGAGCTGATTCGTGTCCAAATCTCTACAACACAGAAAGGTTCAGTGGTGTCGTTTTAGTACACAGAGCAGTGAAAGAAAGTGTTTTAAAGGATTGGGAGAATTTAAAATTTCACAGGGTCCATCGGGGATGTGAACTGGGTTTTTTTCTGCCTTAAAGATTTTTGGGAATGGGTTTGCTCCCACACTGGAGCTCACGCTATTCCGCCGACTTTACTTCACACTTGACTGATGACTCACGACTGCCATCCAGAGCACACGAGAAGTCCATCGAACCTTCGACTCGGCAAACCTGCAAGAAAGCTCTTGCTCGTGCTCTCCAGGCACAAACATCACCAGGGATACAAACTAACAGAAAACGCTCCGTTTCCAGCTTGACAAACACCTCCTGAACACCAAATAGCAGGGTGAGTAAGTGTCGCTGTTGGACGGTGAGAACAGACGTCGAGGACCCTCGGTCATTCACAACACTGTCACCTCCAAACCAGCTAGTCGCAAGCCCGCGCTGGGTACAAGATAAAATGTATAGAAAAATCATCACCAAAGTCGCAACCACTATTTCGTAAAAGATGTTTAGGCAGTTCAATTCCCTGACTGATCCTTTGAAATTATTAGTAATACAGGTGGAATCCTGATAATTCGAACTCCAACATGCTATGGAAATTTTCCAATTATCCGGACATTCTTATTGTCATTATGTATGTCAAAAATGCCAGCATTGACACACATTCTTGCACTATGCATCTAATACGCAGGTTTAGTGGACACTAAACTGCCTGCGCATGGAAACGAAACTGATTTGCAGAAAATAAAGCGAACATCTAAATATGCTTTGCTAACTTAGAATTATCAGCACAAATCCCACCCATTTTCTATGTAAGTGGATTCGATGGGACTTCTAATTGACCGGACATACCCAGTTCGAGGTTGGAATTACCAGAAATTGTTATTTGGAAATCGTATTGACAGAAATCGGTCGCAGGAGAAACTTCTGATTGAGCAGTATGTTCTAATTACGCCATAATCTAAATATCAGGATTCCACCTGTGTTAAATTATTAATATTCCCGGCAGTGGCAGTAGATTTTTCCTTCAGACTTTTCCCTTTTCTATTCCCTCAAACAATGAATATTTTCATTATCACTATCAGCCCGTTTGCCTGTTTGCGAGTGAATGAGGTGCTTATACGCTTGGTAGCGCAGAATAGGTAATACAGAAAATATAAAAAAGTCCTAAAAAGACACAAACGTGCGTGATGTACAAGGAAATATCGACATACGTGTCGTCAAAGTTTAAACAAGCAACAATACTCTGATTTGCTCTTTCCACGTCAAACATGGATATGGACAGCATCAGTAATGTCGTGTCGTGTGGTGTTAGATCCATCCTATCTCAGTTCATACGTCGCTGTAAACTGGATTGCGCCCCCAACTGCCTGGATAAGAGAGATGTCAGTGAACATCCGGACATCAAAGATGTTTTGTATGTGGGTTTTTCTGTGTGGCTGGGTGTAGACGGGGGACTAGGGTTGTGTGCAACACTCTCACAGTGAGAGCTGGATCACTTACATCTCTGACAAAGCCGTTGTGGTTCGAAACAGTCCAACAGGTAAGTGCCGAATTCTATTGTTTAACAAATACCTGAAGAGAGTAGGGATACAGAAATACATGTACTGTTCTATGACTAGAATAGCCTACACTAGTACTAGCTAATGCCTACCACTCCCCTCTTCATTAGCAGTCAAACATCTCGATGAAGATACAGAAGTATGTCCTTTGTCCGACTTATTAAAATGTGCGTTTCGCTTCGAACGTCAGCCAAACGAATTCAAATAATCTAAGGACGGAACAAACTTTCCAGCTACCTAACACTATCCTTCAGTTGTCGATTTGTGATGTTGAAGAAGAAATGGCTCCAACCCCAAAGGAGGCAGCGCTTCAGGATTCTAGTCGACTCGAGTATTTTGCGTGCAAATTTTGTCGTCAGAGGACTCCTGTTGCTTCTCGCTCAACACAGAGAAATGCCTGGTGTTGAAATCAACACCCCACTGCGATGGGGAATTGTCACGGAGTACCAGAAACTCCTGGGCGATCGTTCTCGAGTGCTTCCTGGCGGATTGAAATCGCTGCAGTCGCTGTTTCCTTGGAAGAATCAAGTTCAGCAAACGCATCATCAAGAAACCCGTGCAGAAAGCACCTGCATCGCTTCGTCCAGTTTGTGCTGATCTCTCTCGCATTCGTTCACGATGTTGCGGCCGACGAATCAAGGTCGCAGAAGAGATCATCGAGAAGTTGATCGATATAAACAACCGCCCTTGAGGTCGACTTTCAGGCGACAACCTGGCTGGAAAACTGAAGTGCAGAAGGGTGAATACGGTGCATGAATGGTGCGGAGTCCTCGCCGACTCCTCGGAGCCGCGATGCGTTACAAGATCGCCAGTCTCCGGGGCCAGTGGATTCGTGAAACAGGCAAGGAAGAGCACGCATGGTCTGATGCAGCTGACTGTGTGACAGTCATGTCGACACAGATCAGACTCAGTAGTTCCACGCGCGCGGCACACGGTAATCATGGTGATGAGAAGTGCTTTTTTATGCGCGGTGGTTTACTTGTTCGCCTCATTTGAAAGTCTCGTGGGAGCGTCAGGCGAAAACACCTACAGCCACCATTCTGGCAGTCGTTCTGCACGAGGAGGAGTCGATCGTCTAAATCGTGTCTATGGATTGGAAAAATCAAAGAAGTGCAGTGTAGCTTGGAGGAGATGAAAAAAATGTCGACGTTTTGCAGGTTGACGCACTTGAAGAAGCGCCCTGAGACACCAGCAGAGATGAAAACTAGAGGGTCAGGTCAAGAAACGACACAGTAGTTATCTATCTATCGTCTCTTGGTCCATTTTTTAGTACAGGTGCTCCTTTGGACATAGGCTTGAGTTTTGAAGCGAAGCGCACATTTTAATAAGTCGGACCAAGTACAGGAATGAAAAGCCGAAACTCCGAAAGTACTTTTCTGACCTGGATATGTAGATCTTAAAGTGAGCCAGAGCGCGCTAAAACATGACCACATATATTTTGGAAAAGTCGAGAAAATCGCAATTTGAATTCCGCGGCAAAAAAAATACAAAGTGTTTTGCAACGCCAGTTGCTGTTCTTGTTCTCCGAGCTCAGTCAACTGGACCATGGACAATTCTGGATGCAATTCATTGTTGCAAATAAGTCTAGCGGTATTTGTTTGAGTTTGTATTCCATGTTGTACTGAGTTTCTCAAACAGATCGTCATCGATGTATAGAGGGAACAGCCTACTGTACTGCGGAGCGGAAGAAGACAACATCCTCGCGCTCCATACGCAGGATGAAATATTTTGTGGATTTGCATCGGAAACAGAAGTAAGACCATGACGGCCACAGCGACGAGTCATTTGAGATTGACACTTTCATCGAGTTTAAAAGAATTGATGCGGGCAATCCTACGATCTGCAGTAACAAGAAGATTTACACTGGTGCCAACCTGTCGAGCGATTGGCATCGACACTGACTTCTGACATTTCCCACAAGTAATCTTTCGTGCCCTTCCCTCGGGTGAAATACAGACAAGAACAATCAGGAATGAAAACAGGCTGCCCGAGTCATGCTGCTCTTTTCTCTCCAAAACTAAACACGGGCAGCCTTAGAGTGGAGTGAGTTGCCAGTATAATTCAACCCAAGTATTGATTGATGGGAGAAGGATACATTTTCCAACACCGTAGATGGAAATCATTTTTGTAGCTCAGCTGGTTAGAGCATTGCTTGCGAAATTCCTTTATCAGTTTTGTATTACTGGTGAGAGTGGAGAGCTCTATGTAAGTGGTGCTCACCAGGCTCAACTTGGCCTAGTAATGCTCAACTGATGAGGGGTGAATTCCTAGAAGCACGGTGTATTGAGCAGGGAGTGGTGCTGTCTTGCAGCTTAGCCGAGTGCAAGGCTTGAAGTACGTCTCTTGTTGTCTGGATGGCAGTCGTGAGTCAGTCAACATACAATTAAAGTGAGAAAAACACGACCTGCAGTGTGGAGAGCAATACTTCAGAGCGGTCCATTTTCTGTTTTAGGATTCATTGTTCCTATATGAACCCAGAACAATATTGATTTTGGACGTATAACTAGTCTCCAATGTGCGCCCGACCCTCAATGCTGAGCCAATTTAGTGTATATCGGAAGCAATTTATGACTATACCCACTTGTATAATCACATATCATCAATTTTAAAATGTTATATGTTTGGGCTATGATATGGGTTTGTGCTTGTAAAATACCGGTGGGATGTGGCCGTTCATACCGAAGTTATAGGCATTTGAAATACGAGAGAGCTTGGAAGCTCAGGGCCCTACGCTATGCTTTTTTTGCCTTGATGACCTAGACAAAAAAAGCATAGGGATGTTATAAATTCTTATAAGTTTCAATTTTTTTGTTTTTAGACATAACCTGGAAATCGAACCCCCACTATCGCCCTGCATGCATCCACCGATACAATTCGCATACATACTAATTCTTCCAAGTTGCTTCACGTTATGATCTTGTATTTGAAAGCCCTATTTGAATATGCATTGTGGCCAGCCGTCTTTGAATGTATGGTACGGGATAGGTACGGGACAGGCACGGGACAGGTACGGTCGAGGGTAATACGACACCGTCTACCGCTTTGTTGACGGCAAAAAAAAAAAGAAAAGGGATGTTATAATTTTTTCTATTCTCCTATATTTTTTTCAGGCATTACCTGGGATTGGAACCCGCACTATCGCCCCACATGCATTCCCCCATACACTTCGCATTCATACTCATTCTTCCAAGTTGCTTCACATTATGATCTTGCGTTTGAAAGCCCGATTTGAATCCTGCGGCCAGCTGTATGTGGCCAGCTGATGGTACGGTACGGTACGGTACAGATACGGGATAGCTCCAGGCGTGGCACAAACACACAAACACACAACAAATACCTAACGAGAGAGCTTGGAAAGGCAGGGCCCTACGCTATGCTTTTTTGCCTATACTAATACTAGGAGTGAACTATTGCAAGAGTTGTGATGCAAAGCTGGTCTGAACTGCGTTCAGGGTCAGTAGGCCTCGGTCTGGATCATGAATAACTTTGCATTGTATTGTATTGCTATTATTATACATCGCAAGTCAAACTTGGGAAAAGGAAAGTGTGAAATACTGTTGAGGCGCATTGGACATGCATGCAGCGTCGAAAATTCGGCGCGGAAAATCAATCACTATTCAATGCAGAAATAACGTGCCAGAATCAGAGTACTATGTAGCTAGTGAGAGTTGGTGTACTAGTTTTGCAGTACTTCACACTTTCCTTTTCCCGCCTTATCACCTCAGCTATGACAGTTTCGTATGTGGAAACCCCCTTTATAATAGCAGTTTGATCTATATTTTTAATCATTCAACATCTACCTTCACTGATGAGCTATGTATTAGCGAAACAGCTGTCTGAAGGAGTTTATCAATATCGTCTACGGAAGTGTCCTCGCAATGGTGATGGTTGTGTGCAGGAGGGTCTAGTCGGCTAAAGAGCGCATTCGGCCATTTTGCTGTCCTATTTTTATTTTTGGAGGTCTTGAATGCACGGTAACCCCCCTAAAGTTATATATTTCTAGGTTCTATGAAGTATGAGGATCTAAAAAACAAAATAAGAAGGGCATGTCTATGAAGAAATTATGAAGGTGTGCACCCAATTGTACTTTGCGGACGGGCATTTCTGCTAAGTTCATTTTTGTACCAAAATTACTATTTTCTGAGTAGTCAATGCTGCTTGCCAGATTTTCTTGCTCAAAAGCTTCATTGTGGTGTGTGAACGGACTTGCAATCACAAAGAGAAGCCAGACAACTGGTAAATCTGAAATATGACCCCAAAGCAAGCAAATTTAGGCCGAAATCGATAACCCCCCCCCCCCCCCCGCCAGAAATACACCTCAAACAGCCTTATCTCCGCGGAAACACCCCCTACATTTGTTGTGAAGTAACATGAGATGATACAGAGCACACTCATCCACAATAAAGGAGGGGGTTTATGAAGAAAAAAATCACCCCCAAAGGGTTGGAGCCTCCTTAATGGTCTTAAACTTTAATCTCTAGTGAAACTCTCTCACTTTAAACTTTAAATTATCTCAAAATAACGTGATTCAAGCAAGAAAATCTCTGTGCGATCCATATATTATAATGTTATAACTTACAGGCTGGTTAATTTGGATGTGGCTTGAAACAGTCCTGCAGGAAGGTCAACAAGTTGATTATTGGTTACGTCTCTGTGAAAACAAAGTAGAAATCTGCTCAGGCATACCCCATGGTCTGCAGGAAAGTACCCGTTGTACCCAAGGTCCTTCGCATCGTGATATTCTTCAGTATGGAACAACACACCCATGCCCGGGGCAACGGGGGGAAGGTCATGTGTAATAGGAACACTTAATAGATGTGGTATACTGTAATCATTGTTCCATGTCACTTGCGTATGAATATTCAATTTGGAAATACCAGAATAGTCTCTTCACTTCCAAAAACTAAACATTCAAAATATTTCCTTCAAGAATACAATTACTCGCCAAAGGCATAAAGGAGGTTTGCAGAGCTGCACGCAACTCCGAGCTTCTTGCTGAATGCAATCATCATGATCGCTACCTAGGAGACTAAAAAGCGTAAACCCTTACAGTCCATTCATCGAACACAGTCCTCCTGGTTTTTGATAGTCCTATCCGGGCCGAGTTGAGTATCAAAAAAATGACTTTTAATATCAAAAATCTGGGGTTAGGATCTGCTTCTCCTGAAATTAGGCCATGGCATACCTGTTCTGATTTTATAAAACCTGGCTGACTTTCTATTTCCCGGTACTTGGACTTTTTCTGGCCTAAATGGGGCAAGAAGTAATTGCATGGTTCACACAATGCAGGATGCACTGTTGTTCTGACTATCTACAACTAGGTGCGGGAGACATCAAAAAGTTAGGGTGCCAGTTTCCAATGAATGGACTTAAGTAGCAGAGCAAAGTTCAGGTCCAACAATAACATTCTGACATTTCCCACAAGTAATCTTTCCTACCCTTCCCTTAGGTGATATACAGACAAGAACAAACAGGACAGAATTCAGGCTGCCTGAGTCGGGTTGGTCTTTTCTCTGTGAAACTCAACACAGACAGTCTAAGAGTGGTGTGAGTGGCCAGTATAATTCAACCCAAGTATTGATTGATAGGAGAAGAATAAATTTTCCAACACCGTAGATGGAAGTCATTTTTGTAGCTCAGCTGGTTAGAGCATTGCTCGCGAAATCCTTTCATCAGTTTGTATCACTGGTGATGTTTGTGCCTGGAGAGCTCTATATAATTATTATAATTTGTGCTCACCAGGCTCAACTTAGCCTACTAAAGCTCAACTAACCCATTGTGAATTCCTAGAAACACTGTGTTTTGTGCAAGGAGTGGTGCTGTCTTGCAGGTTAGCCGAGTGCAAGGCTTGAAATACGTCTCTTGTGGTCTGGGTGGCAGTCGTGAGTCAGTTAACTATCAATGCAAGTGGAAAAAACATGCGGCTTTGTTCGTAGTGTGTTCTTGTACGTTGTGCCGTGGCTTGTTTGTAGACCCAGAAATCGTGCCAATATTGGGCCAATATTGAGGGGCGTACCAATTTCATGGTTCCCTTCAAAAGATTTTGTGCGGGCTTTGGAATGCCGATCTACGCCCCAAAGCAAACCTACCTGCAAAAACTTGAGCGAAATCGGAGAGACCGACTTGCACATATGTTCTGGTTTTCTCAGACATGCTCTCTTAAATTAATATGTAGAAGTCATGATGTTGAAGTGTTACAGAAGTAGCGATTTGTGTACTTTCCCCGTTAGGCCAAGTAAAAATAATTCATTGTTGACCGTCTGCGCCCGCCCCGATTTTTCAGTCCGCCCTGGGATTTATTTTATTTTTATTTTCGTGATCAACGGTAGAAAACTCGTGTGTTTAGCGAAGCGCAAACTACTATATTTAGCAGTACGCGCGTACGCGAGCTCTCATGTACATGTACAGCTTCAATGTGCTTTTACCATAGCGACATTACGCAGTGCAGGCCGTGATTCCAGTGTACTTGTGTGAAATCTGGCAACTACAATACATGGCACTGTAGTCTGTACAGTGTACAGTGTACCACCTGATATTATCTACGCCTGCATCCATGGAAACTGCGCAGCCACCGCGTACCGCGTCCGAAGCTGTTGTTGATCGCCGCATGGCAGCACAAAATTGTATAGCAGGAAATTGTAACACAGATTTATCTGCACATGTTCAAAGTGTTTGGAGTATGCCCAGGCAGACTGGTAGCAGTCACAACCAACAATGGTAGTACACCCATAACCCCATAGATGTAATACATGTTAAGATTTCTAGATGTCTGGTCGATGCAGATATTTAAAAAAGTTATAAAGTAAAAAACAAAACCCTCCCGTCCGCCCCGATTTTTCGGAAAATTCTGACGATCAGCAATTTTTTTATTTCTTACTTTTCCTTGACAGAACTTCGTGACGCATTAATATGGATATGAAAACGCTTAGGACAGGTCAAGAACAGTTTGTATCGACTGCAAATCACCGGACAAAGGTAGTTCAGCCTTTGTAGAGCGTCTTTACAAGAGAAACACTTGGCGAAATGAGCAGAGAATTCAGTTTGCATCGCTTTCGCTCGACTCATTTTGGACACTGCGTCGCTGTCATCATCTGCTGCATGAGAGACGTCATCTTTGTCGAGTCGTTGTTCAGTTCGTTTCAGCCTTGCGGCAAGCCTCCTCAAACTCCTTCTTGCACCTTGATATTGAAGACAACTGCTTGTTGATGCCCGCTGGTATTTTCTTCCAGACCTGTGGTGGATGGTTAGGTTGATTGGCCACATACGGGGGGCATCGTTGTATGTGAGAACTCAATCTCACCATTTGGCTTCAATATCAAGTTCCAAGTAGGAGTTTAAGGAAGCGCCGCTGGAGAGTGCTAATGCGTTTGCTGCTGGCGGATACACCACACCTCTAACCTACAGTGGAGGTGACACACAGCCGTGTAGAAGGAAGGGGGAAAGCGAAATGTGATATGGTTCAACCCTCCATACAGTGCAAACATGAGAACAGACATCGCCGGACAGTTTCTTGCGCTGATATCGAAGCACTTCCCCAATGGATCCAGATTGAGAAAGCTCTTTAACCGCAATACCGTAAACGTGAGCTATAGCTGCATGCCGAGTATGGAAACATGAATAAAGGCACACAACCAGAAAGTACTACAACCGAAACGTGATAATTAACCATGCAATTGCCGTGTTGCAGCGCTATGCCCACTGAATGGTGCATGCAGGACCTCCAACATGGTGTATGTAGCAAGCATCAAGTCGGGCAGCACCTTGAGAACATACACTAGGATGTCGGTCCCGGAGTTCAAGAGCAGACACTCCAACCACATGACCGTGCTTATAGATGAGGGCTATGATAGGGTAACTCAGCTGGCTAGGTATGTTAGGAGCCTTAAGATAGGGATCTCAGCGCGTGCAGTGCGCAGGGTGTTTGCGCATACATTGCGTCATCGAGTTTTGAGTGCAGCTCGCGGACACAGCAGAAAAATGGCGACGGTCGATTTTCAACACTAGGGGACGCGGTGGACACTAGCGGAATCGTCATCTTCATCGTCGTTCGAACATCCTTTGTAATTCCCGCCGAACGACAGCGTGGCCAAGGCGATATTGCCCCGGTCGATTTTCCTATAATTTTCCATGCGGCAAGAACCCACTTCAGAGAGGATTCAGTCAAAAATTCAGACGTTTTCTCCGGTTATTATTATTCTTTTATTCCACGATGGCGTGACGCCTATAAGGATGATTAATAAGTGCGATAGAACTGGTACTAGCCAGAAACAGCTAGATGGAAAAGAAGCAATGGATCTTGAAAAACAAGCGGGGGCAATAACGTTAGCAGGGGTGATCGAGATAGTTAAGGACACGTTCGAGATATCAGAAACCAGGGGGATGCGCGGTGCAGGAGCAGGTACTGCTCAAAAGAAGACTGGATGCATTGTTTCGGAAAGAATTTCTACGAGGTTGGGTTGTGATGTCGATAGGGAGTGAGTTGTATAGGGTGAGGGCACTGTTGATGGGGGAATCTCGGTGCCTGTTCGTGTGTGCGAGTCCGATGGAGTAGGTCCTTGTTTGTCGAAGGGTGTATGGTTGGTGTTGACGTTGTGGTGCAAGATGTGGTTGTTGCAGGTGTGGTGGGGAGGTTTGGTGGTGGATGTCCCATGCTAGTAGGGCTTGTTTAACAAGGAGTCGTGAGCTAAGGGTGGGGAGCTTTGCGTGATGGAGGAGGGAGCTGTGGTGAACTGGTGCAAAGAGGGAAATCCGAAGGCAGATGCGTATAGCACGGCGTTGAATTCTCTCCAGTGTGCCCCGCTGTTGCTGTGTGGTGTTGGAGAGGGCAAGGCTGCCATATTCGAGAACGGGTCGGATGTAGGTTGTGTATATTAACAATAGGCTGGAAGCGTTCATTGTGCCACGTGTCTTGTGGAGTTGGTGTAGTAGTTTTTTGGCTTTGTTGGTGGTTTCTATGATGTGTTGGGTCCATCGCAAATCGTCTTGGAGTGTAACACCAAGGTGCCTATGTTGGTGGACCTGCTGCAGCCGAGTCGAGTGGAGCGTGATGTGGATGGTGTGTTGGGGTTGGAAGGAAAGGACGACGGTGTTGACGAGGAGATGCCAATCCTTCAACCATCGTCCTGCTGCGTCCACGGCACGTTGGAGGAATGCAGCTGACAAATCCCTCGTGTAATGCGTCGCGTTGAGTGCCGTGTCATCGGCGAACTGGCTGCATTTAGTGTGAGAGTTTGTACATGCTGGGGGGAGGTCGATCGTGTACACCAGGAAAAGAAGAGGCCCCAGGACAGAGCCCTGGGGTACTCCAGCTAGAATGGATTTCCATGATGACAAAGCGGAGCCAACCTTGACGCGTTGTCGGCGGCGAGTCAGGTAGCTTGTGAGCCAGGTAAGGGCAATGCCACGGACACCAAGGTGCTCGAGTTTGGCCAGGAGGCCAGCATGCCAGACTCGGTCAAAAGCCTTTGATAAGTCAAAGAAGCATGCTGACACTGCCTGACCGGAATCTCGGCTGGCGGAAATCTCATGCACTAGGCGGGAGAGCTGTAGTTGAGTACTATCCTTAGATCGAAATCCAGATTGGTCCGCCGGTAGGTGGGGCTCAATGTGGGTGTAGAGGCGTTGGTGAACAATCCTCTCCTGAACCTTGCT